TCTTTATAGGGCTAATCAATACATCCCACTTAGCATCTCTCGCCTTAGTCCATCAAGTACTCTGTTTTTTATATACATACTTGGACCGTCCATATTTGGGCTCCTACATTGGTCTTACAATAGAGTCTATATATCACTTATATTACCTACTCGACATCATCTATTTGCAGACCATGCGGACATCAAATGCAGCACTACCAAGTGTTGCCACTCTTTCTGGGAAGATCTAGCATAGACACTGCATGAACCGACCAAAAAAAGACGGTCGAGGTGTACCAAAACCGGGACGCTTACCGGTACGGGGCTTAACACACTGAATCGGGGCAAAGATCAAACAAGGATCGGAATAAGTCCAAGTCCAAGTGTCCAATCTATGAAGACAAGACAAACACACTCTCTCTTATAATCAATATGATACGGCGCGCAAACAACGGCCTATAGAAAGACACGAGCGAACGACGGCTCGTTGGTGATAGACACAATAGAACAGCCTTAACCACAGGTATCAATAAACAGCAATTCACTGAACAATATATAGGACCGTAAAGTTGGTCGGTTTCTTTGTTGTTGTTTTTTTTTCGTGTTGGCAAGTGGTTGGTATGGGAATGGTATTGAGACTTCCGGCGGACTACTGAGATCTCTCGATTGTACACAGATGTACACAGAGAAGGTAGCTAGGAGGGTTTCTACGCTATTCTATTTTTAGACGTCTATCAGCTCTATGATCTATTTTTAGACATCTACCAGCTCTATGTTCTATTTTTGTATGCAAACGCTTGTTGTAACCACTAGCCCTCCTATGTATGTGGGTGTAAACACTAGCCCTCCTATGTATGTGGGTTATACAAACACTTGTTGTAAACCTTAACCCTCTTATGTATGTGGTATATACAAACGCTTGTTATAAACACTAGCCCTCCTATGTATGTGGCTTATACAAACACTTGTTATAAACCCTAGCCCTCCTATGTATGTGGCCTATACAAACGCTTGTTATAAACCCTAGCCCTCGTATGTATGTGGGTTATACAAGGTGGGTTATACAAACACTTGTTATACACTAGCCCTCCTATGTATGTGGGTTATACAAACACTTGTTGTAAACACCAGCCCCTCCGAATACTCTACCATTGCTCCAGTATGTACCCCTTTACTTTTAGAGTTTATTGTGTTATTGTAGTCTGGTGTTGCATACACATCTGCTCTACTGTCGGAACATGCTATGCGGTCGCACGCTTACTACATCATTAGACGCCTATCTGTTTGGGACCTGTGTGTCTGTCCTGGCAACTGCCTGGTTATGAGAGGCTGTCTATCATATCCGTCTACTGTTATGTTTGTTTCTGTAGTTAGTATCTGCAGCGATATCCGGTGCATATACATGCGAGGGGGTTCCTCTTATACTACATGAAGTGGACGACATTAAATATGGTCCTATGCCATAGCTACCACGAGCGTGTTACTAACCTCCTGCTATGATCTCATACTCGTACCAGAGTCTCATCCAGAGTGTTTGATCCCTGCATCCCCCATGCACACCTAACATAGGGTGCTACGGATAGCTTAAGAGTACTTCTATTAATAGAATGTACAAAATAGAATGGAGTACCCCTCGCCCCGCTTATAGCCCTCTACGACCGTCTTGGTACATACGGATATGCCTAAGACCTACTTGGAAGGCTTCAATAGCTCGGCACACGTGTCATCGTCCGTCACATTACTACAGAGTATAAGGACCTCTGCCCTCTGCCTGTCGAGGTATCCCTCACACGCCTTGGGCTCATGTAGACTAACGATCTGATATGCCGGATTGATAAACCCAGGTTTTCCACTGCCCATGCATCTTAGGTGTCCCCTAACTTGTACGGGAGTGTGTGCATGTGCATGTATAGGGCATGTATGGGTGTCTGTGTATCTTCAATGTACATATCAGTCTACGTGTTCAGACTGGGATGTGCATCGCCTCTGATCCCGGTATACTTCGCGGTATGTAAACATTTGATGGGTCAGTAAATGCCCCATTTTTGTTTTACGCTATTCCGAGATGAGTACCGCTTCCAACCTGTGTGTTCTATTCTGGAAAGCGCTGTATATAACGCTCGCATACTATATATAGATAGTGCTATATATACATGGTACTATATATAAAAAGTACTACATATAGATGTTACCATATATAGATAGCACTATATATATATGTAGAAAGTGTTGTATATGGAGGGTAATATATATAGATAGTAATATATATAGACAGTACTATTTGTAGGTAGTATATATAGGTAATATTATATAAAGATAGTACCATATATATATAGTACTATACATAGATGGTACTATATATATGGTCAGAGAGGGCCACCGCCTACCTTAGTCTTGACTTGGTTGGACCTCGATACGTTGATGAATATACGAATACATATTCACATATGTATACATGTACACACACACATGTACATACATACATGTACATACATACATGTACATATATCTATGCAAACCCTGCGTATACGTATTCATCTCAACCCAATTTGTCTATGCAACCTCTGCGTATACGTATACGTATTCATCACAACCCAGAGATGGTGTCGATAAACCCGGACACATGGCTGCACAGCATCTCCATGAACACCTCATCTGCTTTTGTGAATGTCTCGCCGCCTTTCTTATTCTTCACCTGGATGAACCCAATGATCTTTCCCGTGTGCGCGCTCACAACGGGACCTACAACGAGAACGACAAGTGAGAGGAATAAGAACAATAGACTCACGGTTGTATAGTGTACAGGTGTGTGTGAGGATGAAATTTAATAACCGGACCTATACCGAGATTAGCAAATGGGAAGGATGAACAAAAGGGACTAACGGTTGTATCGTGTGCGAGTACGTGTAGGAGACGACATCTCCTGATTGAACTTCAAAAAGGGACTCAGAAGTATAGAACTCCAAAAAGAGACTCAGGGCTATAGAAGTTCAAAAAGAGACTCAGGGGTATAGTACTTCAAAATGAGACTCAGGGGTATGGTACTTCAAAAACGAACTCGGGAGTATAGAACTTCAAAAAGAGACTCAGGGGTATAGTACTTCAAAAAGAGA